ACTGACCCATGCCAGACTTTATTGAATTATGTGTCCTGAACAACTGCTACTCCATAGTACAGGATGACCATCACTAATCCGGCATCATCGGGACTTGTAAGGTGCCGGATTAGTGATTTTGCTGGATTACAGAGTGGTTAGGTTAGAATACACTTAACGCAATGGCGACATTTACGCATTGGTGATTTCACAAACTTTACATCCTATTTTCGGCCCATTCCATTGTTCTGGTCTACGAAACTCATAGCTATGTCACTAGTGCTACTTCTGTTCTGTCAACTGGGTACAAGAAACTGCCCATTCACCTATTTCAACTACCAAATAAAGTGGTCAGAAATCAGTAATTTGGCCAATTTCACACAAATTTCAAAAGATGCCAATTTCAAAGCAGGTCTAGGATAAACACTGCAAACATTCCTAGCACTAAAATAACATTTTTTCTGTTCATTAGTCATGTCTCCAGGCCCCTCTAATATTATACAGCTTCTCCTCACTTAGCGATGTACTCATTTACTGATGACTTGGACTTACAACGGGCTCTCTGACCAGTATGCATACCTAAATAATAGATATTAAAGGTGATTTTCTCTATTCTTTTTATTACAATATACAGTACACTATTGTATAAACATTTGAAAATGTACTAAAAATGTTATAAATGGTTCAACGGTGACATTAAAGCAGTATCAAAGATGGATGACATAAACCCACTACCATTATAGTATGCTCCTCCTTTAGCGACGATTTTGTTTACCGATGCAGTATTAGGAACAGAACTCCGTCATTAAGTGAGGAGAGGCTGTACTTGCTTTCCATTTGAATTTTTATTCACAAAATAAAATAGAAGATTTACTGTTATGCAGATGACTGTATTATTATAATAAACTGTATAAATCCAAATGAAATCTTATTTTATCTTGACCCATTCGTGACTGTGTATTCGACTGGCCAGTTGGACATGTATTGGAAGGTGACGTCATTTGTTTACTCTTGAACATCTGCAACAATCAAACATTTCTGCTAATTTGAGCTCAATTTTAAGGTACTTTCCGGCTTGAAACCAATCAAAATTATTTCTGCTTTTGTAATATATTTTCCATTCTATCAAATGAGACAAAACAACTGAGAATACAACTATACAAACTATTACAACCCAGGAGTCCAAATGGCCTGTTATCCTGGGTGTAAAGGGAGCAAAATAAACACAGCAGAAAAGTTTTGACTTATATTATCCTTCACCAATTTAGAACAGCAATATGTACACTATATACACTATGTACAGTGATAGGTATTAGTGCACTCCACGGTAAGCAAGGCAGAATAGAAGCCACAATAGAGCAGACCGTGCTTCAACCAGCTCTAGAATGGGAATGACAAGGGCAGACAGGAGAGTGGTACCCACATAACCTCTGCGATTGCCAAAACCATCTTCTTATTGGCTGGAACCTGGTTACTAGTTGAACGACGGGGCCCCATCATCAACTCTTAGCAACCTGGTTCGCTGGTTGGGGGAGATAGCCTGGAAATGAGGGTGTGTACATGCGCCGAATTAAGGTTACATACTCTTTGCATGCCACACAAACCATAGGAAAATACACTGCAAAATTGGGATTACATAATAAAACTTTCTAGAGTATACCTGGAGTGGGTTTCGGACGCCATCGTCCCCGTGGCTTGGCCTGAGACCAGGCCTCGTGGTGGGTCACAGTCTGATCAACCAGGCATGATCAACCAGGCAGTTACTGCTGGCCACACACAAACTGATGTACAAACCATAGCCCTGCTGGTCAGGTACTGACTTTAGGTGCCTGTCCAGTGCTTTCTTGATGGCAGCCAGGGATCTATTGGTAATCCCCCTTATATATGCTGGGAGGCAGTTGAAGAGTCTTGTGCCCCGTACACTTACTTTGTTGTCTCTCAGTGTACTTGTGGTTTTATTATTTTTATTATCACACCGGCCGATTCCCACCAAGGCAGGGTGGCCCGAAAAAGAAAAACTTTCACCATCATTCACTCCATCACTGTCTTGCCAGAAGGGTGCTTTACACTACAGTTTTTAAACTGCAACATTAACACCCCTCCTTCAGAGTGCAGGCACTGTACTTCCCATCTCCAGGACTCAAGTCCGGCCTGCCGGTTTCCCTGAATCCCTTCATAAATGTTACTTTGCTCACACTCCAACAGCACGTCAAGTATTAAAAACCATTTGTCTCCATTCACTCCTATCAAACACGCTCACGCATGCCTGCTGGAAGTCCAAGCCCCTCGCACACAAAACTCCTTTACCCCCTCCCTCCAACCCTTCCTAGGCCGACCCCTACCCCGCCTTCCTTCCACTACAGACTGATACACTCTTGAAGTCATTCTGTTTCGCTCCATTCTCTCTACATGTCCGAACCACCTCAACAACCCTTCCTCAGCCCTCTGGACAACAGTTTTGGTAATCCCGCACCTCCTCCTAACTTCCAAACTACGAATTCTCTGCATTATATTCACACCACACATTGCCCTCAGACATGACATCTCCACTGCCTCCAGCCTTCTCCTCGCTGCAACATTCATCACCCACGCTTCACACCCATATAAGAGCGTTGGTAAAACTATACTCTCATACATTCCCCTCTTTGCCTCCAAGGACAAAGTTCTTTGTCTCCACAGACTCCTAAGTGCACCACTCACTCTTTTTCCCTCATCAATTCTATGATTCACCTCATCTTTCATAGACTTGTGGTGTCCCTGCTTTTCATTGGGGGAATGTTGCATCACCTGCCGAGTCTTTTGCTTTCATAAGGAATGCTTGTCATGTGCAAATTTAGTACTAATCCCTCTTGGATTTTCCAAGGGTATATTATCATGTATCTCTCTCATCTGCATTCCAGGAAATACAACTCATGGGACTTCAACTGTTCCCAGTAATTGCCTTATTGTACTTATGTGTGCTGTGAAACTTCTTTGTACACTCTCCGGGTCAGCAGTTTCACCTGCCTTGAAGGGGGCAGTTAGTGTACAGCAGTATTCCAGTCTAGAGAGAACAAGCGATTTGAAGATAATCATTATGGGCTTGGCATCCCTGGTTTTGAAGGTTCTCATTATCCATCCTATCATTTTCCTAGCAGATGCGGTAGATACATTGTTGTGATCTTTGAAAGTGAGATCCTCTCACATTATCACTCCCAGGTCTTTTGCTCTATTGTATGGTTAAAATTTGTCGTATACCCTGGATGTGAAAAAAGAGATTGTTTGGCTGTGTCTCTCAGTACGTGAGGAAGCTTCTGCTCATACATCCAAATATTTCACTTGCTTTCCATTTTTTTTTTTTTTTTTTTTTTTTGCAGTGTAACTGCAAAATAAGTAACCATGGCTCCAAAGAAAGTTCCTAGTAGAGTTCCTGTGGTAAAGAAAGTGAGAAACACCATGGAATTTAAGCGTGAAATGGTTGATAAATACGAGAGGGGTATGCTTGTGTTGGAACTTGCTAGGATGCACGGGAAAAACAAATCAGCAATAACATCCATCCTGGCAAAGAAATAACAAATCAAGGACGCTAATGTTGCAAAAGGAGTAACCTTTCTAACGAAACAAAGGTCACCAATAATGGAACAAATAGAAAAGTTGCTGTTATTGTGGATTATGGAAAAACAATTAGTGGGAGACAGTTTAATGGAATCTATTATTTGTGAGAAGGCAAAGCAGTTACATGAAAATTTTCTACAGAAAACTCCTGGAACAAGTGCTGTTTATAGTGAATTTAAGGCCAGCAAAGGCTGGTTTGAGAAATTTAAGAAGTGTTGTGGCATACACAGTGTTGTAAGGCATGGTGAGGCTGCAAGTTCTGACAAAAAAGTGGCTGAAAAGTACATACAGGAGTTCAAGGACTATGTAAAGGCTGAACAATTAAAACCTCACAAAACAGGCCTCTTCTGGAAGAAAACGCCAGACAGGACCTACATCATGCAGGAGGAAACGGCACTACCAGGTGTTATGCAGGGTTCTGCATGACATTGTAATGTACATATAATGGAGAAGTGTGCCATAATAGTATGAATGTTATAATTGTAAAGAATAATTTTATAATTCATAATGTGCATTTGGGAGTACTGTAAAGTACTCTAACAGTAATTATAAAGAAATCCTGCTTGGTATTTATTTTCCAACTGTGTTTGGGTACGCGGAGTAAGCGTGGCTGGGAGGAGTCACGTGGGGTCAGCATGGTGTGGAGGCTGGTGTCGGAGATGCTGTGTGTTTAAGGTAAGTTTGTAGTTGTGTACTCCTTTTGTTTAGCTCAATCCATAGGCTCTTCTATGGCTTACCTGTATGCTCACCCAGGCTCTTTACTAGGAACTTTCTTTGGAGCCATGGTTACTTATTTTGCAGTTACACTGCAAAAAAAAAAAAACGCAAAAAAAATGGAAAACAAGTGAAATATTTGGATGTATGAGCAGAAGCTTCCTCACGTACTGAGAGACACAGCCAAACTGATGCTCAAGCGACCCCAGCCGGCAGACGAACGTGTCCAAAATGGCCAATCACTGGGAGCCGAGAAACCGGCTGATCACCGAGTTGGCCAATAACAGGAATGGCCAATAACCGAGGGTCCACTGTACAGTGTATGTGCTTTACACAATATGAAGCATTTCTTTTATTCATTGGAATCATGGCTAGGGCCATGATTCACACATCAACAGTTATATCAATAACTGGAGAAAAAGAAATTGGAATAACTTATGTAGCAAGTAGCGCCACCAAACAGTAGTGGCAGGTTGGTGTGGTGACCCCAGAAATTTGAAATTATGCTAGCTGAAATTATTGCTGGATTACTGATGGAACCAGATTACTGATTGCCAGATTAGTGATGTCCATCCTGTACTACAGACCTAACTCACCCATGCTAGACCTTTTCGAACTATGTGTTATGAACAACTGCTGCCCATCAAAGGCTTACTTCATTAAGCTTGACTTTATTTTATTTTCCTATAATGATGAAACGCCTTGCCTTGCAGGAGATACACTGTACACATTACAAGATGACAAGGTGTGTCGTCTCTGTGCTGAAGTACTATTAAAGTCAGCTGATAAGTATAACCTCAATGAATTTCTCAACATTTGGCAGCAGAGTGTTCCTGAAGGTAAGTTTTAATGTAGTAATATTTCTCTTTATATCTCTTCACAAGGAAGGTGGGAATTGCCTTAAGAGGCACATAAGTTCCCTGTCTTCTAATAACATGTTCATTTTTCCACTGTAATCTTCTTTGTTCATAATTACTATTGCTTTTGTTTTGACTGTTTCATGAGGTGAAGTCTAGGATCTTTCCTTATTTCGTGGTATAACTTAACCCTTAAACTGTACAAACGAAGATCTACAGTCACTCGCATAGCACTCCAAACATAGATTTACATTTTATTTTACATTTGAAGGCATGTAAGATAGAACATAGATCTATAGATGTATTTGGAGCACTACGCAAGTGAACGTAAATTTTTTTCGACAGTTTAAGGGTTAACAAATCTTTGAGGACAATTGTCTGAGCTTCGCTCAACACAATTGTCCTCAAAGATTTGTTAAGTTATTCCATGAATTAAGGAAAGATCCTGGACTTCACCTTAACCCCTTCAGGGTCCAAGGCCCAAATCTGAAGTGGTGCCCCAGTGTCCAAGAATTTAAAAAAAAAAAATTTATTTTTTCTTATGAAATGGTAGAGATTCTTTTTGTGAAGGTAATAAAACAAAAAGTACGAAATTTGATGGAAAATTGACGAAATTATGCTCTCGCGAATTTTGATGTGTCAGCGATATTTACGAATCAGCAATTTTGCCAACTTTGACTCCCATTTTAGGCCAATTACATTATTCCAGTCAACCAAATTCTTAGCTATTTCACTAGTATTACTTCTATTCTATCGATTGAGCACAAGAAATCACCAAGTCAACTGTTTCAACTACAAAATAAAGTGATCGGAAATTGTTAATTTGGCCAATTTAACACAAAGTTCAAAATATTCCAATTTCAAAATAGGGTCCAGAATAAACAATGTAGGTATTCCTGGAACTAAACTAACATTTTTTTCTGTTCATTAGTTATGTTTTGAGGCTTTACAAATAAATTCCATTTTGATTTTTTATTCACATAATGAATTTTTTTTCACACCAAAAAATAGAAGATTTACTGTTATGCAATACTGTAATAATTGTATAAATATCATCACCATATTTGTGAATGTATATTAGACCCACCAGCTGGTGTGTATTAGACGTGTGAGGTCGTTTGTTTACTCTTGAATATCGGCAAAAATTTAACATTTCCGCTACTTTGACCTCAGTTTCAAGCCATTTCCAGTGCTAAAACCAATCAAAATCATCTCTATTTCTGTAATATGTCTTCCATTCTATCAAATGAGACCAAGAAATCGCAAATACAACTATAAAAAACATACGAAAAAACACTGCAAAGTCGCTGTTTTAATCGAAAAATCATGATTTCAGTTTTTTTTCTCTCATACACAGTGTGCTGCAGGATTTGTTTTATGTGGTGCACACATACCACATAGATGTATTCTCTTATATCTAGGCCCAAATGTACCACTCACAGTTTATCAGAGTGAGCTGAGCTCATGACGTAGATCTACGGTTTGGACCCTGAACGTAAAGCCGTAGATCTACGGGACGGACCCTGAAAGGGTTAATAAGCAGACAAAGCAAATGTGATAGTAATTCTGGACATGATAGATAATAGTGGAAAAATGTACATGTTATTAGAAGACGGGGAACTTACGTGTCTCTTAATGCTGCTAAAGTGGTTTTTATTTTTTACCTCCAGTCATCTCCCACCATGACAGGACCAACCTAAGAAGGAAGCACAGTCAGAATTATTCATGTAGTAGCTACCTTGCCAGAAGTGCACTTAACCAACTGAAGTGCAGAATCCTTACCCCATCTTCAGAGTAGAACCATTGTACTTCCTTCCTCCAAGACTCAAGTCCAGCTAACTAGTTACTCTGAATTTCCTCATAAAAGTGTTTAACCGTAAACGGTCCAAACGTATATATACGTTTTTACCGCTAGTGCCCCAAACGTATATATATGTTTTATTTGTCATACATTCAACATTGCCACGATAAGCCTGAGTCATCTAGACATGAGAGAATGGGTGTGTGCACTCACTGTGTGCCATATTAAAATAATTTGGGATGCCTGGGTACCATAAGCTCTTTTTTCCTATTAAAAAACAATGATTCTTTTGTACTAAAAAAAATTTGGGGCACTACGGTAGAGAACGTATATATACGTTTGGACCGTTTATGAGTTAAATATATCAAGATTATATACCTTATATGTTCTTACATTGGAAGATTATAAGTATTATACTTTTAAGCATGGAGGATTGTATGTATTATACAGTGGAACCTTGGTTTATAAATTTAATTCATTCCAGATGTCAGCTCGACAACCAGAGCAATTCTTCCCATAAAAAATAATGTAAATAGAATTAATCAGTTTCAAACCCCAAATGACAATTTTTTTTTTTTATTAACACATCGGCCATTTCCCACCAAGGCAGCGTGGCCCGAAAAAGAAGCACTTTCATCGTCATTCACTCCATCACTGTCTTGCCAGAGGCATGCTTACACTGCAACATTAACACATCTCCTTCAGAGTGCAGACACTGTACTTCCCATCTCCAGGACTCAAGTTCAGCCTGCCAGTTTCCCCGAATCCCTTCATAAATGTTACTTGCTCGCACTCGAGCAGCACATCATCCCAAAAACCACTTGTCTCCACCCTTATCTAACATGCTCACACATGCTTGCTGGAAGTCCAAGCTCCTCACACACCATACCTCCTTTACACCCCTCTCTCCAACCTTTCCTAAGTTGACCCCTACTCCACCTTCCTTTCACTACAGATTTATGTGCTCTCCAAGCTATTCTACTTTGTTCCATCCTCTCTACATGTCCTAACCACCTCAACAACCCTCTCTTCAGCCCTCTGGATAATACTTTTAGTAACCCTGCACCTCCTTTTAATTTCCAAATTACGGATTCTCTGCATTATGTTCACACCACACATTGCCCTCAGACATGGCGTCTCCACTGCCTCCAGCCTTCTCCTTGTCGCAACATTCACCACCCATGCTTTAAATCCATATAAGAGCATTGGTATAACTACAGTGGACCCTCGACCAACGATATTAATTCGTTCCTGAGGGCTCATCGTTAGTCAAAATTATCGTTAGTCGAGTTAATTTTCCCCCTAAGAAATAATGGAAATCAAATTAATCCGTGCAAGACACTCAAAAGTATAAAAAAAAAATTTTACCACATGAAATATTAAGTTTAATGCAATAGAATAATTACAATAACAACAATAACAATAGATTAATAACAATAGAATTATTGACACTTACCTTTAATGAAGATCTGGTGATGATTGATGGGATGGGAGGAGGGGAGAGTGTGGATGGTGTTAGTGTTTAGAAGGGGAATCCCCTTCCATTAGGACTTGAGGTGTCAAGTCCTTGAGGACATTGTTTTTCCTGAACACTCTGGGAGTGATACACCAACAAAGGCTTCACTTTGCAATCACCACTAGCATTAGCACACATCAACAGAGTAAGCCTGTCTTTCATAGGCTTATATCCTGGGAGTGCCTTTTCCTCATGAGTAATGTAGGTCCTGCTTGGCATTTTCTTCCAAAACAGGCCTGTTTCGTCACAATTAAACACTTGTTGGGTTTAATTTTTTCACTTCTATGTACCCCTTTGAATTCCTGCACATATTTTTCAGTGCTTTTTGGTCCGAACTGGCGCCCCCACCAGGGCCTTATCACACTATGTATGCCTTTTAACAAATTTTTAAAAATTCCCCTAAAACCCAAACCCTTTTGGGTGGTTTAAAAATTCCCATCCTCTTCATTTGGTTAGGATTTTTCAAAATTAAAATTGCTTGCAACTTCCTAGCCTTTTCACATATGATTGTTTATCTTTTTTCTTTTACCCACCCAATAACATCTTAAAAACATCTTCTATCACTTGCTTTTTCTCAGTTTTCGAAAAATAGTTGCACCTTGGAAAAAATAGCTTCCTTAATTTGGGGCCGTTTTCCCCCTCCAAACAAAATAGCGAGGGTTTTGATTGGGGTTTTTGGTTTTAAAAATGGGGGCCCAGCTCGGAGACACCACCCCAAATTTCATATTTAGCAAGATCTCTTTTTTTCATACCAAGAAATTTCCCTCCCCCTTTTTTGCTGTGGGGTTTTTGGCCCCAAAAGCTTTTTTGGGGGCCCATGGTGACTTATTTTTGCAGGTGCAATCACAAAAAATGCTGTTAATATGAAATGTTCCGATTGTTTTTTTTGGGAGGGGAAAAAAACCGGTGGCTGGTGGCTTGTAAACATGGCCACAAATGGAAAACGTCTCGGACGGAACAATCTCGTTGGTCGATTTTTTTTAGCGCTGGTTTGGGGAAAAATTTTTGCTTTTTAAATGTTTTCCCCTAGTCGGATTTGACTTTAAAGATCCAGCTTTTGATCGAGGGCCCCACTGTACTCCAGAAAAAATTTCCCCCCTTGGGCTCCCAGGGAAAATATTTTTTGTCCTCCACAATTTTCCTTAGTGCCCCACTCCCCTTTTTTCCCTTTTAATAAAATTCTATGATTAAACCCATCTTTAATAGACCCATCTGTGACATGCCCAAATCCCAAAAAAAATTCTAAATACATTCACCTCCTCAAAAACTCTCTCCTTTCAATTTTGATTTTCCAGTTTTTGCATTACTCAAAATTTTTTTTTATCCAAACCCCCTTTTTCATTTTTTCCTTTTTTAAATTTCCTTTTTTTGGGACACCCTACGGGAACTCGCCCCCAGCCTCGCAACTTCTCTTCAAAAACCCTTTAAAAGCACAGTGTCTCACCAATGGGGAAACTGGGGACAACTCCCACTTTGTGTTAGAATTTTTTATTTTTTAAACCCCCCCCCCCTTTTCCCAAAACCACCCGAACATTTTTTTTTTTTTTTTTTTTTTTTTTTTTTCCCCAATTTGTGACAATACGGGAGGTCCCAAAAAAAAATACAGATAAGAGCAGTATTGCCAAAGCCACTTATACATGCATAGCATTACGGGCTGGTTTAAAAATTTAAACCCTTAAGTTTTAACAAAG